GGCCTCCCAAAGTGCTGGTATTATAGGTGTGAGCCACTGAACCTGACCTGAAATATTTTTAAATCATGAAAATTTTCTCCCTTTACTGTCATGTTAAATTTTTATACTATTTTCCAAAAATTAAAGTTTAATTTAAATGAGGCTAAATCAGCTCTCTTATAGGTATCAAACATTAAAATCTAGTTCTTGTTCAGCAATTGTAAAGGAATTTCCAGAACCAGATTTTCTTACAATATTGTTATCATCTTTATCCAGAATGTTTGCTTTATTTCCAGTTGCTCAGGTTGCTATAAACTATTTATAGCTTATCTATAGTGTGAATTACTTGACAATAAATAGGTTCAATGTGCATGTGAAAATGATTCCTTTTAACGTGCTTTTGGTAGCATTAACCAAATGCTTGGAATCATATTCTTGTTTTGGTCCCTGACATGAAGTATTCAGATTTCTTTGAAGACCTATGATGTTCATATTGCTGATTACTTTTTAAAATATCACTTCAGAATTGTCTCATTAGTGGCAAAAATGCATCCTAATCCAGTTATGGTACCAGCCTTAGTCTTGAAAATAAAACCTTATAGTCGAATATAAACTTCCAATTAAATGGGCCTTAATTCTTCACTATTGAATTTTGAACCATTTTTCATGTTGGTGCCAAAGAATAAAAAGAAATTGATTTCCTACTTTAAGATTGGAATATACACACACACTATCCTGGGAAGTGGGGTGGAGATGACTACTTCATATTTCGTTTTGAAGTTAGTAATAACACAACTGAAACTTCTGGAGAGCAAGTATGGCCGACTCTAAGAATATTATGTGATTTGATTTTAAGCTTTCAGTAGTGGTGTGTTTCATTCAGCCTGTGACAGTAAAAATGAATGAGTAATAGATGACTAGTGTGCTCTGGCTGCTGTGATAATACCCTCTGTTATTGAATCTGTCTAACCAGCCATTTATTTTTCTGTTGTCTGCAATTAAAGACCATCATGTTTTCTGACAATGTAGGAATTTCTGTTCAGTTAAAGTGTATGTTGTTACTGGATTAAAAATAATAAAATTGAATTTACTTTATTACTAAACCCCCCCAAAACATAAATCTAAGATCATTTAAAATTTCTTATAAAATAACTGAAATATCATTAATATATTAAAACCCAGCTTTGATAGTTTTGAATATAGGTGTTTGGTCTTCAAATTTTGACATGAGATATAAATGACAGTAGTAGCACATCTAGTCATTGACCTTGTAGCCAGCCTCCAAGATGGCTCCCAATGATCTCTACCTCCTGATATTCACACCCTTGGGTAGTCTGCCCCCAAATTTACCAGAGTTGGTCTGTGTGACTGATAGAATACATCAGAAATGATGGTGTGTCACTTCCAAGATTAGATTATAAAAGACATTGGGACTTGCATCTTGGTCTCTGTCTCTTTTAGGGGTCTGGGGGTCACTTGCTCTGTGGGAAGCTGGCACTTGTAAGGAGCCAAGGCCTATGCCAACAGTCATGTGAGTAAGTAAGCATGGAAGTGGGTCCACCAGTCACAGTCATGGTTTCAGATGACTACAGCCCTGACCAACAGTTTGATTGCAACCTCATGAGATCCTGAACCAGAACCACCCAGCTAAGCCCCTCCCAAATTCCTGACCCTCCAAAACTGTGAGATTTTTTTTTTATGTTTATTATTTAGGCTGCCTACTTTGGGGGTGATTGGTATGCAGGAATAGATCATTACACACCCCCATTAAATTTCTTCATTCTTCAAATCTTAATGTCTGTTTTGAGGTTTTATTATTATTTATACTATTAAACCTGTAATCCATATAGTTCACCTGATTGAATCATTAAGTTGATTGAAAAATACCATGTTCTGTCTTCCATGTTTTGATATAATAAATATAGACTTTGAATTCACCTTTCCTATATTTGATCCCATATTAGAATGTACTTAAGAGAATCGCTCTCTGACAAGGAGTCTTTTTTAGGTTATTCCACAGATCCTTTTCCTTTACAGGCAAAGCTGTCTGTATTATACAACTTGTAATTACTATGTAAGTGATTATGGAATTACTATGAAGTACTGCAAGAGAAAGCAGACAGCCAAACAACTGTTCTCAGGCTGAGACCTCACCAAAGAAGCTCTTTGTCTATTACTCATAACTCTGTGGTGCTTATTAATTATACAGGGTAATCACAGTGTGGGTTTTAAAAGTCGTATTTTGGGGATTAGTTAACTATATACTACTCAGACCAGAGAGACAGCTTCTCAGCAGATCTGATGTCAAGGTCATGAATTGTAGTCTAGCTCCTACTCTTCCATCCCACTTTCTTCATGGTGCTCTGAAAAGGAAAAGGTTATTAAAAATATTTGGGTGTGCTTTTTCTATTTCCTTTTTGCCCTACTAAACCAACAATGCCAATAATTATTCCTTTACCATCACTAACCATACTGAAATGGCTATCATGAGTAAGAAATGTGACAGAAAAGTAGTATTTCAGCTGCATAAAGAGATTATTTTTTCTTTTGCTTCTTTTTCTAAACTTTTCTATTTTTCTAAACATGGCATAAAAAAGTGGGGGGGAAAAAAAAACATAGCTGGGTGAGGTGATATGTGCCTTTAGTCCCAGCTACTCAAGAGGCTGAGTTGGGAGGATCACTTGAGCCCAGGAGGTCAAGGCTGCAGTGAGCTTGCACCACTACACTGCAGCCTGGTTGACAGAGCCAGACCCTGTCTTAAAAAAAAAAAAAAAAAAAAAAAAAAAATTTGCTTTCAGTGAGTTATAGGTAATCAATTTCAGGTTTTTTATCTGAATTTAAAGACATTAAAAGAAACATGGTAAAAGGGAAACATTAATGAGTCCCATGTTGTTTGACACTGTTGCTTTTAAAATATAACTAGCTTTTTCGTTTTATTTTCACTATGTTTTATTGATTGATTGATTGAAACAGGTTCTCCTTCTGTTAACCAGGCTGGAATGCAGTGGTATAATCAGAGCTCATAGCAGCCTAGATCCTGGGCTCAACCAATCCTCCTGCCTCAGCCTCCCAAGTAGCTGGGGCTACAGGCACATACCATCATGCCCAGCTAATTTTTTGTTTTTTGTAGAGACAAGGTCTCCCTATTCCAAGTTTGGTCTTAAACTCCTGGGCTCAAGTGATTCTCCTGCCTCTGCCTCCCAAAGTGCTGGGATTACAGATGTGAGCCACTGCACCTGGCCATTCGCCATGTTTTAAAATAAGAAAAAGAATGACTGGTTCAGGAGTTGATCTTTTCTTTCTGCATCCTAAATGGACTAGAGGTTATTTTGAAATTTTACTGTGAATTTCCTTTTTAACTTGGAGCTGAAAAAAGTCAGGTTTCGTCTTAGACTCTGTTTTTTATACCTCCCCCACTTTAATTCACACACACACACATATACACACAATAAGGCTAGAAAGATGGTTATTAGTAACTTAAAGAAATGGATTTCTCTATTCATGTTTCCAGTATACAAATACCATCCAAATACTCCAGTAATGTCATAAAGTAAGATGGCTGTAGTCGAGCCAGAAGTAAAACCCCGAACTTCTAACTGCTTTGAATATTTGCCAGCTAATAACAACATAAAATTTTACCATAAGGCTAAGTGATTCCTGGGGCCTAAATTGAACAGTCAATGAAGAAGTCTTCAGATTTTCAGCACTGAAATACTTCTGTGTTAAAGAAACCCCATGTTTGCATTATTTTCTTAAAGATTCTTTTAAATTAAAGCATAGCCATTGAATTGCAACCTTCCGTTTCTTTTTAAACAGGCTCCTATTTGTGGATGGCGGTGCTAACATAACTACTGATTAAACAGTTTTTAAAAATGGATAAATAATAGTAGTTTTCATGAATAGATTTAATTTGAAAGCTTAAATTACATAGTACTTTGCTGTAATTTTTTAGTTTCTTCAACCCTGTTAACACTTCATTTTTCATTGCAAAATATCTCAAGAAACTTTTAAATATCTGTGTAATAAGTAAAAAGTATGTGCGTGTAATATGTGATGCTCATATGAAGTTCTTCAAGGTCTTGCTACAGAGATAAGGAAAGAGGGAAGGAAGCCTAGGAATATCTTTCCACCCACCTCCTGATCCTTATACTTCCAACTGGGTACCCAGGGCTAAAGCCCTTGACCAGACTCCAAGCACCACCTTGCATCCCCTTCTTACATGCACATCCCCAAGGCTCATCAAGCCTTGAAAGAGACAGAAAAGAGAATGGAAAGTAACAACCAAACAGAGACAAGAAGAGGGGGTGGAATTTGGCAGCAGGTGGAAGAGATTTTGTGTGCATTTCTGGTTGTGAGGTGCCTCCATCCTCCTTGACCCATCAACAACTGAGTAATGGTTCATATGTACAGATCACAAGTCATCCTAGATTGTCATGTGATCCTACTTATATTTTGCACACTTTATATATCTGCTGGCATTTTGTTAGGTCTCTAAATATATAAACTCATAAAATTGTCGTGCTTAACATATTTTAGGAATGCTAGTGCCATAACATGGGAAAAAAATAACATGTATCTGCTGGTAATATAAGCATTCATAAGCAGATACAAGCAGAGGCAGTAAGCACAGAGGTTAAGGACACAGATTTTGGAGCTGGGCTGCCTGGGTTTAAATGCCAATTCAGACAACTTGCTAGATGAGTAACCAGGAATAGTTTTCTCATCAGCAAAATCGAGATGATAGCACTACCTTACAGGGTTGTACATTTTAAACGAGTTAATATGACTATAAATATTTAGAACAATGTCTAATACCCAGTGCTTTATAAGTATTTGTTCTTGTTAATATACCATGCCACCTTTCTAATGCTGTTTCTTTAGATGGCTCAATCTGACTTGTAATTAGCAGGTTACATTTATACTAATACCACAACCTTTAATGTATAACCACTGGATAGCAAATACCCCCTTCTCAGTAGTTTTAAAAAACAAGATGCTTATTTTTTTTTCCTCTTTCCCAGGCCCAACACAGAGATACTTTCATTGAAGAACGCTATGGAAAATATAACATCAGTGATCCTTTAATGGCTCTACAGAGAGATTTTGAAACACTGAAGGAGAAAAATGATGGCGAAAAGCAGCCAGTCTGCACAAACCCACTCTCTATTCTTAAGGTGGTGATGAAGCAGTGCAAGAACATGCAGGAGCGCATGCTGTCCCAGCTGGCTGCCGCTGAGAGCAGGCACCGAAAGGTAGGTTCACCTCAGTTGATGTGTAAATCTTTGTGAAGTCTTGATAAATTATGCCTGATACTTTCTTGTCAGCTGCCAGTTTTTCACAGTAATTCAATTGGGTATCTCGCGGGTATCAAAAAACCCCTTAGTTTATGTAAGAGTCAGGAGATAGAAAAGAAAACACAGCTTATTCCAAGTGTTAAGTTTAGAGAATGTGCCAGACACATTATTTAAGACGGCATTCCTTCTTGATATATCACTCCAAAACACTTTGTATGTTTTTTCAGTTCTTGATCATTCAAACTTTGGGGTTTGGCCAAGCTTGTAGCCGAAGGGAGTGTTCTCTATTTGCTTACTTAAGAGATAAATAAAAAGATTAACAGGTATTTGAGGCATGCTATATCCAAGGGAGAGAAAGAATTTACCTGAGGATAAACACAGAAGCCAATAGATTATTTTCATTTATTCCTGTTATTCCTAGTTTTGAGTTTCATTGCATTTTGTTGCTCATGAAACCATAAATAGTCCCTAGGTTTATTTACCTTAAAGGTGTTCTACTCTATTAGTGAAGTGTTGTGTGTGTGTTTCCATATTTAACGAGCCCTAAATTAGGAAGACAAACCTTACAGTTATTTACCTTATTTACCTTAAAGCTGTTCTACCCTATTAGAAAAGAGTGTGTGTGTTTCCATATTTAACAAGCCCTACATTAGGAAGACAAACCTTACAGTTATTTACATTACTTACCTTAAAGCTGTTCTACCCTATCAGTAAAGAGTGTGTGTGTGTGTTTCCATTTCTAACAAGCCCTAAGAAGGCAAACCAGTGCTTTCCTCTGCTTCATCTTACTGGAATTCTAGTGCTTGTGAATTTATTCACCAACTTGTCATCTTGTCATTTACTGCTCAAATTTGGCCTGTAAAAGATGCTTGGCTACAATCTTCATTTTTAAAACACTATCAGTTTAGATTTATGCCAACAAGGCAGTTATCAGTGCATTTGGTAGGAAACATTTTCATCTGAAAAACTGGGTTAGCAGCTGCAAAATTTGGTGGACCTTACTTTTCTGGTTACCAGTATTAGAGCCATCTGCTTAAATTGCATCTGATAAATTTTCTAGGCTCTGGGTCTCGCACGTGATCTTTTCTTTCCCTTCACAGACGCCAAATGAAAGGCCAGAGTGGAACTTCTTAACCATGTGGATAGGCCTCAGATGTTCCACAATCCCCCAGAAAATAGAATGTTCAGAGTTTATGTATTTTTGTAGGAAATGTATTTTTTCCATAGCTTTAATTAGATTCTCCAAGTTACCAGTTACCCAAGACCCAAAAAAGTTTTAACCTCTGATTAGAATGAAGTAATCTGAAAACATTTACACTCCAATTTAAAAGGTTATCAATGGGTGGGAGTTAGTTGCCTAAATTTGGGGCGGGGGGCGGCTTTTACATAATCCTCTAAAAAATCTTCACAACATTCTTGTTTAATAGGCAGGCTTTATTTCCACTTCATCCATGAGGTGACTGAGTTGTGTTGAAGCTAGTTGGGCTAGCTTTCATGCCCATGGAAGGTGTACTATGGACAGTTTGTGGCTCTAGGTGATTGGAGAGAGGAAGAAGTTAAAAATAATTCAAAATTTCTTAATACTATATTGCAGTGCTAAATGTTTTAAGTACTAAATTTTTGAAACGAAGTACCAACGTTTTTTTTTTCTTTTTTTGAGATGAAGTCTTACTCTGTCACCTAGGCTGGAATGCAGTGGTGCAGTCTCGGCTCCCTGCAACCTCTGCCTCCCAGTTCAAGTTTAAGTGGTTTATCAAAGTAGAATGCTGACTTTGTTAGAAATCAAAGAGTACCTAGAGGCTTATAATTAGAGTGCTCATAGTCTCAGCTTATGCCTGTCACCTTGGCTTAGTTATTAACCATATTCCCTTTGACTGTCAGAAATGTTCTGATTTGAATAATAAATTACATGGTCATTGTGCTTACAATGAAAAACAGTGTTTCCTATTCCACCTCTTATTCCCCATCCTCCCTAGTATTCACAGGCAACCACTTTTTTCTTTTAGCCATTCACTTTGGTAGCTAACCTCCATATTTCTAAATACTGCACTGTTCTCTCTTGCTTTATCAATTTTAGACTTTTATATTACTTTCTTTTGTATAGGTGCATATTTAGTTATCTTAACACCCTACCTCCCTTTCCTTAACCCTTGCCCAGAACAAATTTAATCCTCTTTTCCCACCACCATTCTCTGTCACACTATTTCTTGAGTGTGACAGGCTCAGGATTTGGGAATACTAAATGTGACAGATGCCAGATGCTGATGGTCTGTGTGCAGGAATCAGTGTGAAGGGACAAATAATTCTGAAAATACAGGCTTTAAAGGCCAGACATGGTGACTCATGCCTGTAATCCCAGCACTTTGGGAGGCCAAGACAGGCAGATCACTTGAGGTCAGGAGTTCAAGGCCAGGCCAGCCAACATGTGAAACCCTATCTCTGCTAAAAATACAAAAATTAGCCAGGCATGGTGGCGGGCCTGTAATCCCAGCTACTCGGGAGGCTGAGGCAGGAGATTAGCTTGAGCCCGGGAGGTGGAGGTTGTAATGAGCTGAGATCACACCACTGTAATCCAGCTTGGGTGACAGAGCGAGACTCTGTCTCAAAAACAAAAACAAAAAACAAAACAAAACAAAAACAGGCTTTGAGCCAGTTCTCCTGTTTTCTGTTCTACATTTCACTTCTCCTCTGTAGTACCTGCTACCTCCAGGTTCCATCTCGTTGGGGCTCTGCAAGGCAAAACAGCTTCCCTCCTTCAAATTAAAGTAGTTACCACTCCTCCAGCCTCTTTTCTTCTTCAAAATATTATTAAAATTCCTTCTCTGCTAGAGGCTCTCTCCTTTGTCTTTGTGGGGTTTTAGTGTTTTTATTCCATTTCTGTAATTTTAGAGGACTCTCAAACGGGAGAAGATATGACTTACCACTTTTGGCCAAAAGCATGTCTTTCTATTAAATTGAAAAATTAGATTAAAAAAGGAAATGTGCCAAATTTTTTTTCTTTCTTTTATTTTGAGAGACAGGGTCTTGCTATCTTGCTTGGGCTGGAGTACAGTGGCTATTAACAGGTGCGATCATAGCACCCTATATCCTGGAACTCTTGGGCTCAAGTGATCCACCTCAGGTCCCAAGTATCTGGGACTACAAGCACATACCACAGCACCAGTCACTCTTTTTTTTTTTTTTTTGAGATAGAGTTTCACTCTTGTTATCCAGGCTAGAGTGCAATGGCACAATCTTGGCTCACCGCAACCTCAGCCTACTGGGTTCAAGCGATTCTCCTGCCTCAGCCTCCTGAGTAGCTGGGATTACAGGCATGTGCCACCATGCCTGGCTAATTTTATATTTTTAGTAGAGATGGGGTTTATCCATGTTAGTCAGGCTGGTCCCAAACTCCCAACCTCAGGTGATCCACCCGCTTTGGCCTCCCAAAGTGCTGGGATTACAGGCATGAGCCACTGTGCCCAGCCTTTTTTTTTTTTTTTTTTTTTTTTTTTTTTGAGACAAAGTCTCACTCTGTTGCCCTGTTGCCTGGGCTGGAGTGCAACGGCATAATCATAACTTACTAACCTCGACCTCCCTGGGCTGAGGTGATCCTCCCACCTCAGCCTCCTGAGTAACTGGGACTACATGCACACCTCACCATGCCTAACTAATTTTTTATTTTTTTGTAGAAATAGGGTTTTGGGTTGGGCACAGTGGGTCACATCTGTAATCCCATCACTTTGGGAAGCTGAGGCAGAAGAAGCACTTGAGTCCAGGTGTTTGAGACCAGCCTGGGCAACATGGCGACACCCTATCTACAAAAAATCAGCAGGCCATAGTGGTGTATGCCTGTAGTCCCAGCTGCTCGGGAGGCTGAGGTGGGAGGATCACTTGAGCCTAGGAGGCAAAGATTGCAGTGAGCCGACATGACGCCAATGCATTCCAGCTTCGGTGAGAGTAAGACCCTGTCTCCCCAAAAAGAAAAGAGAAGAGAAGAGAAGGAAGGAGAGAGAAAGGGGAAAGGGGAGAAAGAAATGGCTGGTCTTCAACTCCTGGGCTCAAGCGATCCTCCTACCTCTGCCTCCCAAAAGTACTGGGATTACAGGCATGAGCTCATTTGTATTTTTATAGGGCGGTTTCATGTCCCAGAAAATTTTCTCTCTTCACTCATAAAAATTTTTAGTGAGAAGACTAAGAAATGGCCTTTGGGACAAGAGTGCTCTACCCTGGAGGTCTGGGCCAAGGCACTTCTGAAGCATGAGCAGAAGCTACTAAGCAATCAGAGTATTTGCAGTTGTAGATGGGATTATGTGAAAAATGTCGCCTTAAATTGATATTCTCGGCCATGTGTGATGGCTCACACCTGTAATCCCAGCATTTTGGGAGGCTGAGGCGGGTGGATCACTTGAGCCCGGGAGTTCAAGACCAGCCTGGGCAAGATGGGAAAACCCCATCTCTACAAAAAATACTAAAATTAGCTGGGCGTGGTGGTGCACACCTGTAGTCCCAGCTACTCGGGAGGCTGAGAGGTGAGAGAATTGCTTGAGCTTAGGAGGCTGAGGCAGCAGTGAGCCATGATTGCACGACTGCAGTCCAGCCTGGGTGACAGAGCAAAAACCCTGTCTCGAAAAATAAATATATTTGTCTTCTCCTTAAAATTGGGCTTAATCCTTTGGCACCAGGATAAGTGGAATAGGGGTAGGCAGGTTAAATAAAAGGCCTTATGAAAAATCTCCATTTAAGATCTGTATAATTGAGCCTTTTTTCATGCAGTAGGAAGTCAAGAGAGTCTTTTCACCTCTTACCTAACTATATAAAAAGGTATATTATTAGTTAAACAAGGCACACTTAGAATGTCACCTATTTGAAATGTTGAATTTCAGGCTCCTTCTTTGGTGCCTCCGGTGATTTGAGCATTGAGAGGAAAATCTCAGCTTTCAGGTTTCTGTGATCCTGTCTTGCTCCATCACCTGCACCTGGCCCCCAGTAACACCAAACTGCCTGCAGTTTCTTGGAATTGCCATTATTTCTCGAAACCTCCTCAACCCCTCTAGCTAATTAGTTGCTCTCTTCTCTCTGTTTGCATATCATTCTCTGCATACTTCAAGTAAAGTAAATATCTTACTGTTAAACGCAGAGCTTTCATGTCTTTCACTGTAAGTCAGTGTGCTCCTTGATAGCCCTTGCTGGGTTTCATTTATTCATTTGTTTGATCTCTGGAACTATCTTAGGTGCCTGATTTGGCACTTAGTATTGGTTGTATTAATAAATGTGACTCCTTGATATTTGGAAATGAAATTTTTAAAATTCTTTAAAGGTGATCCTAGACCTTGAGGAAGAAAGGCAGCGGCATGCACAGGATACAGCTGAAGGAGATGATGTCACCTACATGCTAGAGAAGGAAAGAGAGAGGCTGACTCAACAGGTAATTAAGGTAGAGGGATTCACAGTAGCATTTGCCTGGAATCGCATTTCCCAAAGATTATTTTGCAGGATGCCAATTGGTATTGTTCAAAAAAGGGGCTTTGTGGTCAAATAAGTTTAGGAACTACTGGATTAACCAAAGTTAAACAGGTTTCTAACTTAGTTAGGATCTTTAGTATGCAGAAGCACATTGTGAGTCTTGAAGAACAAGATAGGGTATTCTGTGTTTAGAAAATCCATGGTTTTAGAAAATCTTTTATTGGCATAGATCCCTCACTGTGGGACTATTGTTCCATAGAACACTCTTTGGGGAATGGTAACTTACGGCTTGTAGCTCTCAATCTTTTGACTTAAAACCCCCAGTAAGAAATGATATTTTATTCACAACCCAGTATATATAGACACACACAGTTATGCGTGACACAAAAATCTCATGAAATGATATATAACCCCTACTGCTTCAGTACACATTGATGTTTTCTATTTATATATTTTTTTAAAATTCTAGTCATGGCTCAATTTGTTTCCCCATCTGTTAATGGATCTCAGAGTTTGAAAAACACTGAGTTTCTTCAACCCTTACCTTCTCACAGAGAATCTCTGCCTCAAATAGGGTTGGGAAGACAATTAAAACAGACTATATTTGTGTAAAAAATATGATTCAGGCTGGGCACAGTGGTTCACGCCTGTAATCCCAGCACTTTTGGAGGCCGAGGAGGGCGGATCACCTGAGGTCAGGAGTTTGAGACCAGCCTGACCAACATGGAAAAACCCCATCTCTACTAAAGATACCAAATTAGCCGGGTGTGGTGGCGCGTGACTGATCCCAGCTACTTGGGAGGCTGAGGCAGGAGAATCGCTTGAACCCACGGGCGGAGGTTGCAGTGAGCCAATATTGCGCCATTGCACTCCAGCCTGGGAGACAAGAGCAAAACTCAGTCTCAAAAAAAAAGTATGATTCAAATGCAACTGTTTGTGTTTGTTTGTTTCTAAGACCCAAGAAAATTATTGCTGAAACTTTAAAAGGTTTGTTTTCAGCAACATTCATCACAAAATGTGGTTGATACAGCTTTCTGTTATCTTGTTTTGATTGGTTCTGATGCTCTGCACATACATGAAACGCAAAGATACATCATATTCCCACTAATCACTCCAAGACAGTACAGGAACTAGAAGTGCCTCCCAAATCATCAAAGAAAGATTAAATCATAGTGTGTGCATTTTTTGTTAGGTGTTCTAAAACTTCAGAAATACTTGATCTAAGCACTGTGATATGCATGTTAATCCTGTATACCAGAGAACAGCTAACAAAGACACTCTCCTTGATCATAGTTTTTCAGTATATCTCTCTTTTCTTTTTTTCTAGTTGGAATTTGAAAAATCCCAAGTGAAAAAGTTTGAAAAAGAACAGAAGAAGCTCTCTAGTCAGCTGGAAGAGGAGCGCTCCCGCCACAAGCAGCTCTCATCCATGCTTGTGCTTGAGTGCAAGAAAGCCACCAACAAGGCAGCCGAGGAAGGACAGAAGGCAGGAGAGCTGAGCCTGAAATTGGAGAAGGAGAAGAGCCGGGTGAGTAAGCTGGAAGAAGAGTTGGCAGCTGAGAGAAAGAGAGGCTTGCAGACTGAGGCCCAGGTAGAGAAGCAGTTGTCAGAGTTTGACATCGAAAGGGAACAACTGAGAGCAAAACTGAACCGAGAAGAGAACCGGACCAAAACTCTGAAAGAAGAAATGGAAAGCTTAAAGAAGATAGTGAAGGACCTAGAGGCTTCCCACCAGCACAGTAGCCCTAATGAGCAATTGAAGAAACCAGTAACCGTGTCCAAAGGCACAGCAACTGAGCCTCTCATGCTAATGTCTGTGTTTTGCCAAACAGAGAGTTTTCCAGCAGAAAGAACCCATGGGAGCAACATAGCCAAGATGACAAACACTGGGCTGCCTGGTCCTGCCACTCCTGCTTACTCATATGCAAAAACCAATGGCCATTGTGACCCAGAGATACAAACTACCAGGGAGCTGACTACAGGCAACAATGTAGAAAACCAAGTGCCTCCACGGGAAAAATCTGTGGCACTGGCCCAAGAGAAACCAGTGGAGAATGGTGGGTGTCCTGTGGGGATTGAGACTCCAGTCCCAATACCCAGTCCACTCCCTTCCAGTGGGAGCTCACTGTCTCCCAGCAGCACTGCCTCCTCCTCTCTAACATCCTCTCCTTGCTCTTCGCCGGTACTCACTAAGCGTTTATTGGGGTCATCAGCTAGCAGCCCTGGCTACCAATCATCCTACCAAGTAGGGATCAACCAACGGTTCCATGCAGCTCGGCACAAATTTCAGTCCCAAGCAGATCAGGAGCAACAAGCCAGTGGCCTACAAAGCCCTCCGTCCAGGGATTTATCCCCCACCCTCATAGACAACTCTGCCGCCAAGCAGCTGGCCCGAAACACAGTCACTCAGGTGCTCTCCAGATTCACTAGCCAACAAGGGCCAATCAAGCCAGTCTCTCCCAACAGCTCTCCCTTTGGCACAGACTATCGAAATCTGGCCAATACTGCCAATGCAAGAGGTGACACAAGCCATTCACCTACTCCAGGGAAAGTGTCCAGTCCCCTGAGCCCCCTGTCTCCAGGAATCAAGTCCCCAACCATCCCCAGAGCTGAGAGAGGAAACCCTCCACCCATCCCACCCAAAAAACCTGGCCTCACCCCTTCTCCATCTGCTACCACTCCACTGACCAAAACTCATTCCCAGGCAGCCTCTTTGACCACCACAGAAGACCTTGCCAGCAGCTGCTCTTCCAATACTGTTGTAGCAAATGGTAAGGATGTTGAGTTACTTTTGCCTACCAGCAGCTAGTCCCTAGGAGGGAGTCTCCACGTTTGACATTCCATCAGATTTCGTCCAAGAGCTCAGTCAGACTTTTGAGTCAGATTACGTTATTTATTTTGATAGTAACTGAAACCATCTGTATAATACATTTAGTGTATTTCACCATTTTGTATTTTTTAAGTAGAAACTGAGTAGTTTGGATTTTTATGGCTCACATCTTTTTACTGAAGCCAGAAAGGCACCTCAAAGATGTCTCAAGCTCAGCAGTCACCGTCATGTTGTGATGAAGAAAGCAAATCACCAGGTGGTGATTTGGTATCTATTTGGGAACTAAAATCACTCAACACTCATTTTGAATTATGCAGAAGTGGTTCATGCAGATTTTTATTCCAGATGAACATGTTTTAAAAGTGCCTGAAATATGACTGCCATATGAATGTGATTCTGCAGCAAAAAACACAAAATGGATCATTTAATTGCAGAAAATGACATCCTCTGCGAATTTTGAATGTTAAAAACCAACACTGCTTTTGATTCTCTTTTAATGTTTTAATACAAGCTTTGTGTTCTGAAACAAGGCTGCATACGTAGAATGGGAATCCTTCTAAAGGTGGGTGTGAACTCACCACAAGCTGAGCTTTATAGAGCCCTTGAGAAACCCTCCTGAGAAAATCAGTTGGGGTGCTGATTTTCTTGTACTTTTGAAAAATTGAGTCACCCCCAGTTTCCTGCATAAGTTCTTGAACAGAATGAAATCACATCTCCATTCAAAAAATGTCTCAGACATCTACTGTTGTGTAAGGAACTTCTGATTCTGATTGCTGTTACTTGAATAGGAAATGGTTACTCATTCTGTATAAAAGTTTTGCAACAGAATGAAATTTTTATTCTGTAATCAAAAAGCAATAACTTGAAATTCACTCTTTGTAATATTATAAGTCAGAATTATACAAGTTTTACCAAATTGTTACACTTATTCTCCAAGCTGCCACAACCTGGTATCTGTATCTCTAAAACCAAATTAACTTTTGCTTAAATGGGAAGTATACATAGATCTGTACAGAAACATTACCCCTTTACATGTTTAACATACACACACTTAAACACATAAATATTAGTGTGATTATATCTTTGGAGTTTGCAATATAGCATAAAGGACAAGTAGAACTGCACGTTAAGATTACCTACCAAAGCAACTAGATGTGGCTGGGACGCAATCAAAGGAGGAGTTTTGTCCACAGGATGGTGGGGAAATTCCAAATGAAGCCCAGATCTTCAGTATCATAAAAAGGCAGAGCTGGCCAGGCACAGTGGCTCATGCCTGTAATCCTATCACTTTGGGAGGCTGAGATGGGAGGATCGCTTGAGACCAGGTGTTCAAGACCAGCCTCATCAACATAGCGAGACCCCATCTCTATTAAAAAAAATAAATAGGCAGAACTAAACTAGCCCCAGTGTCACAAAACTCAACTGGTCATATAAATGAGTGAAACAGGCCTCTCAAGCGGTGTAAAACAGCTGGGAGTAGTGGGAGCTGTGGCAAACTGAAGTGCCCAAGCCCCATTTAAAAAAGGCATCTGTTCAGCTCCATCTGCTTGCTGCCATGCAAGAATGCTAAACCAGGATAACCAGTTCTTCACATTTTTTGAAATCCAGATTTTCATGAGAAACATTCTCATTTTTAAATATCAAGAACTGATTTTAAAATGTTTAAATAGTGCTGGTTAAACAAACACTTCTGCAGCTGGATTTAGATTGCAAGCTGCCAAGTTGCAACCTCTTTCATTCTAGAAACTTCTGTCATTTTCATCATAGCAAATCTATGTGGACAAAAGCCTCCAAACTTTCCAACTGTGTAGGCCAGTACAGCTGGCAAGGTTCATAGAATATAATGACTATCCCCCTCTGCCAAATAAGACTATCCACAACCCAGCTCAGACACAGTGGTTATATGGATTTTGTGTCCATACAGGGGAGGCCTTGGTGTCCTCACATACATTCTCCTAGCCAACATCTATCCAGCAGCCCTGACCTCCTGCTATAATTTAAGTCTATTTCCTTTTAGTCTAATAAGAGTTGATAGTAAAAAGGCAGGTGATGGAAATCAGTGTATAAATCACAATGGAGTATATTGGCGACTCCACAGCTTATAGTTTGATAAAGGCAAATACGTGAAAAATGAAAATGCTACTAATGCCCCAAGGTGTCTATCAAAATGATGTAGGGGGTATCTTAAACTGTCCAAAACAATCATGCATTCAACTTTATTCCTATGCAGAGCCAATAGTGTTGATAAAATAGTTAAACTTTCTAAACTGGAGAGGAGGCTACAGTGCCAGAGAGTTATTGTCTCTTTTGCTTTAAATGGTAATCTTAAAAGTTGCATTGTGCTCTTCCTTTGTTTGGGGATAGATATATATAGAGAGAGATACTATAAGGAAGTTTATTTCTTAGGAAGTGCACTGAATAATGCATTTCTTTTACAGTGTAATATGGGGGTGGGGATATGCAAAAGAAATGTGTATTTTTGCTAGTTGCCTATCTTCTGAGATAAATAAGCACAATCTTGCAATGGATCCAATAACCCAGTTAGGTATTATAGATTAGTATTTAAGTTTGCTGTAGATTGTGTGTGTGTGCTAAGTAAAAGTTCCATGATTCACAATTTTAGTATTAACCCATGTTGCAAAAGCTGTTACTGGCCAACAGATTGTAATGATGTGTACCATATAACACAAGCATTAACTAGGCATTAACGTTTGTAAAGCCAAATACACCATGCAGAAGTCTTCATTTTTATAACAGACTACATTAAAACAAGTTAAATCATGCTGTTTGGGGGGAAAATAGTCTTGTTTGTACAAAGTGAAAAATGGCACAATTTGGGCATATTTTGTTGGGAAGAGGGGGTGGTATAGAGGGAGCACTTGACTGTGGCTTTGACAAACCAAATGAAGTCAATGACCCATCCAGGTTAGACTCCCTAAGGAACTAAAACATTGATTTTCTTTAGAGTCTTAGAGCTGGAAAAAGCCTTTACAATAATCCAGTCTGTGATTTTTTAAACCATTTGGTGGTTCTGGACCTTTTTGAGAATCTTAGAAAAGATGTAAAGTTCATCCCTAGAAAAATGAATATGCCTATATGCAAAATTTGTTTGATGGCTTCATAGGATCCAGAGACCCTGAAGCCATCCATGGCTCATGTATTCCTGCTTAAGAAAGCATAGTCTTGTTCTGCCCTCTCATTTTACAAATGATTAATGCAACCCTTTTCAACTACTCCAGTGCTGTTGCTGCTGCAATGTTAGCAAATGCAAGCCAGACAGAAGCACTTGAAAATCCTTTGATGTACAAAAAATGTTCAAACAGTGTGGATGTTTACATATCTGATGTTGCCAGCATTTAAGCCAATTAATGATCATTTCAACAAATACTAGCTATAGCCAGTTTCCCTTAATAGCCTGTCAGCAGTGCTGCCTTGTCAGTTTGTGTGCGTGTGTGTGTGTCTGTGTGTGTGAATTCATAAGGAGTGCTTCTGATGCGTAGTCCTTGAAATGGAACTTCAAATGTCTTTCGAAACGCTGGCTTCAAAATAGGATGTGTTTTCCTAATGAATCAGAAGTAGGCAGTGAGCATTGTTCCACAGGAATAATTTTTAATTTAATTTCTATCAAACTAGTTGAGAAATGAGAGCCTGTCTACCCACTATTTGTATATCAATGGCCAATTCATTAGTAAAAATAAAGGAGGAGAAAGGAGACTGGAGTAGTGGTTCTCAAACTTTACTGTGTGTTACTATAACCTGGGAAGCCAGGTAAAATAAAGATTTCTGGAGATTGGATCCTCTGACTAGCTGATGCAGCTAGTCTGTTTTGAGCAACAGTCCTTCGTAGCCCTTACCTGTTCTTTCACAACAACTTGCTATTTGCCTCTGACCCAAGGAAATGTCTTAAGCTCCTGAAACTGGTTTGGCAGAATGTCAGTGATATTCAGAGTCAAGGGTGCCTACATATGAGTACCAAGCACCATGCTAATGATTTCACATACATATTACCTTATTAATCCTCACACGGGTGCTGTGTGGTGTTATTATCTCTAGTGTAGTGATGAGAGGTAGTTGAGGGTAGAGATTTGTACAAGCACCCTCAGCATATGACAGCCAGGATTTAAATCCTAGTGCTTTGTTCTTTCACTACCGGTATTTCCCAAATGAGAGTCTCCTGGAGCTCTTGTTAAACATACAGATTCCCAGGCTCCTCCCCTGGCGATTCTGATTTCAGCAGGCGAAGGTGGAGCTCTAGATAAATGCCTTGGTGATTCTTCAGATAGAGCAAGTTTAGAATATCCTGCAGGACACCATACTGCTCCACAGCCCCCCCAGAAATGGATCATCGGACCTACCCAATGCCAGAAGACCTGCATCAGGTCAGATAAATGGAACAAAAACAAAACATCATTAATTCCCCTCAAACAACATGTTTTTTAAGTATCTAAGATGAACCAGAAAGCAAGGTAGTTACTAAGAAAGATACAAGTTTAATCCTGTTCCCTGCCCTTAGGGTACTCACAATCTAGTTGGGGAAGCAAAACATTAACAAAATGATACATAATGAGTCCAGAGGCAACAGTTTGATAGAATAATGCAGGCGAGCTTTTAAAAACCATAGGGAAGGCCAGGCAAGGTGGCTCACGCCTGTAATCCCAGCACTTTGGGAGGCCGAGGCAGGCAGATCACGAGGTCAGGAGAACGAGACCGTCTTTGCTAACACGGTGAAACCCCGTCTCTACTAAAAAATACAAAACATTAGCCGGGCACGGTGGCGGGCGCCTGTAGTCCCAGCTACTCAGGAGGCTGAGGCAGGAGAATGGCGTGAACCCAGGAGACGGAGCTTGCAGTGAGCCAAGATCACACCACTGCACTCCAGCCTGGGCGATGGTTGAGCAAGGCTCCATCTAAAAAAATAAAACCATACAGAGTTATTGAAGGTGGTTCTGGTGAAAGCACTCTGGTAGCTCAGAGGTAACACAGCTCTTTATGGGCAGGAAAACGTTAACTAGAAAGGGAATGAATGTCTTTTCTCCTCTCTCCAGGGCATTATTTACCTGGAGTTCTGTAACATGTCCCTGTGTTTGTTTTTTGTTTTCATTGGCTTGTCTTGATTCTAGGATAAGGTCAGAGGCACAGGACGTCCCCAAGAGCTGAGTTCTGTTTCAGGGAGACTGACAGACACCAGTGAGTGCTTTCTGCAAGGGTTGGGGCTGACCTAAGAAAGAGCTCCCAGGTCACAGCATTCTGCAATACATTGTCCAGTAACGTGTAGGGAAGATCTAGGAACACGCAAAAGGCAGTTTGAAAAAGGACCTGGTTGCCAAAATAGCATATTACCCATCAATGTCCTCTCCTACCCATTTCCCTTCTTCACACCCTCTAAATCTCTATAAGCAAATGAGGGGAATGCAAACTAAGCTTTGAACAGAATCAGATGAGTCCTTCTGGGACACTTGCAGAGGACTTATTTCTTCCGAAGGATGTGGCAGCAGCTTCTCCCAATAGTGGTAATGTTTGTTTCACTGTTAGACTGGAGCACAAGGAGCATGCAACATGTGGCTCTGTCCACACCACTGTGAGATTGTTGGTTCTGAGAAATTACTGGGGGAAGTGTTAAAACAAGATTGGCCTTATTTCTGGGGAGTCACCTGTTTAACCTGACAAGAATCCTACTCATTAACTCAATGTGTGAGACGCTAGGATGTGCCACATGGGTTCCCCTTCAGGAGTGAAATTTAATTCCCTAGGTGCAGGGAATGCTGACAGTAAGTGGCCCTCAGATATAACCCCTTATAGGAATTGCCTTCACTGAAAGAAAATCAGCTTGGACAGCTCATATATTAATACAAAGACTGGGCATGGTGGCTCACACCTGTAATCCCAGCACTTTGGGAGACTCAGGCAGGCGGATTGCTTGAGGTCAAGAGTTCGAGACCAGCCTGGTCAACATGGTGAAACCCCATCTCTATTTCTATTAAAAATACGAAAAAAAAAAAAAAAGCCAGGTGTCATGGCACACACTTACAATCCCAGCTACTTGGGAGGCTGAAGCAGGGGAATCGCCTGAACCCAGGAGGTAGAGGTTGCAGTGAGCCAAGATTGTGCCACTGCACTTCAGCCTGGGCGACAGCAAAACTCTGTCTCAAAAAACGAACCAAAAAACAAATTCAAAGACTAATTGATGTAAAGTTTATACTGACCCTCTTGTCCCAAATTAGGAGAACTCCGAAGGTTCATCTCAGCTTCAAAACCACCTGAAGAGTTGCGTAAGACCTTTATTGAGACTATATTGCAGATTATCTTCTCCCTCTGCCCAATGCTGCTTCCATTCCCTAGGTGTGGATCCCGAGGGCATTCCCAAGTAAGCCGCCTCCATCATAATCTCCATCTCAGTCTACTCTGTTCCTTTGGTCATGATGAAGTCCTCTAAAGAAGGGAGGACACATTTTCTGAGTATTTATATAGTGCCAAGCTCTCAATCAGATATTTTACACGTTACTTCATTTAATCAACAACTACTAAAAGAGGCAGATAATCCCTATTTCACAGGTGTGATCATTAACCCCTACTGAGACACAGTAAATTGCCCAAGGTCCTACAGCAAAGCAGAGCTGAGATTCAGTGTTAGCTGGGATTCCAATCGTTGAAACCCTATTTGGCTTTCAAGTCCACTCTCTTTCTGCTGGCCACACTATAGTATCAAAACAGTAATGATACATTTGGGGAGTTTTGAATATTAGCTTTTTGTCAGTCAAATACCCAAGTATAAGCACACTGATCAGCTAGCTTTCTTTGAGACCTTCAGCTAGAAACAAGATACTGAAGGAACTGGGTTTTGGTGCAGAGAAAGGAAAAGGATGATTTCCCTACACACATGGAGTCATGAGATGTTAGAGCTAGAGGTAATCTTAGAGACCCTTAATTCTAGCTCCCTCATAATCTAGATGAGGAAAATGAGCCCTAGAAAGGCCAGGGGACAGGCCCAATTGTACATGTCTAGTTCACAGCAAGGCCCGGCCTGTAGAGAAAGTCTGGCTCCCTCATCCTGCCTCAGCCAACTGCTCCTCCCTGAGCTGACCTGAAACCAGCCGTTCCTAGCCCAGCCCTGGCTGCTCCCTGGAGCACTCCTTCCCTCTCACCTGCTCTACCATGTCTGGCTTTGATCTTGTTCGCCTGGGCTGCCCCTTGTTCCAGGCCTAGCCCTCTGCCTAGGGCTGTCTGCCTGCCACACTTGTTGCCACAAAAATCCTGTCCCCGTGTCTCTGAACAGGTTTGACGGCTGGGGCAAGGGTAGGAGCAGGGAGGGTGGTGGGGCTTCTCCTCCCACGCTGTGCCTCCATCTGTCTAGAACCAGCTCTGGGAAGCACTCATCAGGCATGTCTTGCTCCTCAGGTCAGGCATGGACAAGATGCCACCAAAGTCCTGAGCATCTAGCCCCTCCCTGCTCGGGAGTCTGACTTGCCACACCTGCCTGCAGAGGAGGGAACAACTGAGTGCTTGAGGGGAAACTCCTCCTCCTCCTCCTCCTCCTCCTCCTCCTTCTCCTCCTCCTCTTCCTCTGAGGCCTTCCGCACCTGAACGCAAACATACAGCTCTGCTGGGAAGGAGCTTTTGTCTTTTGTGTCTTCAAAGGACTTATCCATTTCCCTTCTCTGTAGTGCCTACCCTCCTACTCCCCCTCTCCCTCAGCCCACCCAACCCAAATCAAAGCCTTCTAGGGTGGTTTGTGCCTCTGAGCAGACAGGGTGTCCTCAGGAAGACCCTGATCCAAAGGGATTCAGGGTGGTGGGGCAGTTTAGGGGTGGCGACCAAAGCACACAGGCCCCTTCTTCATCTCTAGCGTGTTTTCCTTCTCCTGAGTCTTGGTGAGTCAGAGCCACAGGGCCATGCACAAGGCTCCTATTCAGGGCTCGTTTTCCTTTCCCTCTACTCAGATCTTGGCATCTCTCACTCCTTCATTCTCTGTGTGGGCCTTATTCTCACCATGGGAAAGCTCTGCTCCCTGCCCTGTGCCGCCTCACTTTCCCCCAGCAACCCCCCCCAACCACACACACACACACACACACACACGCACACACACTCACACCCCTCATCCTTGCCTTTTGAGAGTTTGCAGGCCCAACTGGATACAAATATATAGGAGGTAGAACAAAATAGAAATGTTACGCTAATAAATCCTTATTCACATATTCACCCGGTTTTATTGCTTCTGGCTCCGTGCGGACCTCACCCAGGTTGAAAAGGGGATACACACCACACACTCGCTGTGCTTGCCCTTCATCTATTCAGTATATCGTTATCAAGCACTGACTCTGTGTCAAGCAAGCATCATGCTAAGGGCTGGCATTTACACTCTGGTGGAGGAACATGTCTCAAAGAGGTGACTCTCAGGGTTGTGCAGGGCAGGATATTACAAGTGCTCCAAATGAGGGTTGGGGCCCCTAAGATTCAGGAGAACTGGAAATCCCTGGGTCTAGAGACTTAAGAAGCACCTGCTCTAAATAAAAGAGAGAAGGAGATCAGTTTGCATTGATAGGGTTCTGGGTACACTACAGCAAGGAGTCTGAGCAAGAAAAGCAGTTCAGAACAGGAGGTCTGTCGCTCTGTGCGCAACTTTGGACAAGTGATTGAACCTCTGCCAGCCTCCATCTCAGCATCAGTAAAATAAAGATGCGAACCTCCCTCTCAGGGTTGTGAGAATTCCGTGAGATAAAGC